CTCCGTCTTCAGAAGCATCTCAAGTTGGTGTTTCATTTTGATTTCGTATTGGAATATTATAAGTTTAGAGCAGCCGTTCGTCGTAAAGGTATCTAGGCAAAAAGTATTCTATCGCAAAGTGCTAGAATTTTTTGTAAAATTGGGAACGCTGCACCCTCAGCTCATTCTGTAACCGTATTTTTTCTTACAGGAGGATTTCGAGGAGGATCGACAAGAGTTTCTTGGCATTGTACGAATCATAGCACGTATCCAAGGTTCGCTTGTATTGAAGACGATTCAAACTACCTTACAAAACGTCCTCACCAATTTGCCTGCGGTTGGCCAAAAGGATCGCGGAGATGACAATCTGGCACACCTTGATGCCTGCCTATATCTCTTCTTCTCATTGGGCGAGTTCCTTAAGGTGAATCTTCCCAGAGAATCTTTGAGTCTAGTTATGTTTACACCTCAACATGATGTACAGTTCAGCGTTACCTAGTCTTTTTGCTGCCAATTTGACTTAACCAGCCTTGCTTGTAGGAGACCGCCTGGCATATTCGAAAGTAGCTTTTACAATGCATATTTCTTCCTCTACAGGCCCCGCGCAATGATCATTTCTCACAGGCCTACGCTCACGGTGAGAAGATGGCTGAGATTATGACAAGCATCTGTGAAAGCAATATTTCCTCCATCGACTACTTTCCCATTCAATTAAATTTCTTCGAAATTATCGGTCGTTACGACAAGTTCTTCATTACTCACCCGAAGCTCCTATTGAATGTCATGGTAAGCACCTTTCCTGGATTTAGTGATATTATCTCAATTCACATACCTGATTTTTTAAATGCCTTATCTTGTGTTGCCCCGAGCGGATATATTTAGTTTTGGCTCAGTTGTCCCTAAAATCGTTGCCAGTCAGAACCTTGTACGTAACTTAAACCGAGACGCTTCGTCTGGTGAGGTATCTCAGTGGCCATTCCGCTGCATCCACTTGTCTTTTTTTAGCCTCTTGTTGATATTCTTTTGCGCGGCGCGCTAGTTGGACTATACACCACATTTAGGACAGAATCTGAAGGGGATATGATGGGCAGTGCTGGGTGTACCTGGTCGTGCAGCCGCAAATCCAAGTTCTCGCCTTGGCGTGTGTAGATACTTGAGTAAACTTACTTGACCGTCTCCCTGCGTACTTCCGTGGCAGGTGGCTAAAGAGTTCATTTATTAATTTGACATCTGCCTATGAGAAGCGAAATTGACCGATATCTCTCGTCACTACGGTGAGTGCTCAAGTATGCGTGCCACGCTCATCTATCCAACTTAGACTCCGGTTTCTTCTTCGTCTGACAATGTATAGTCTCCTGGACAGTTTCTCACTTGGAATGCAGTTATCCACACGCGTGCCACTTTTACTTGCGTTCAGACCAGCCGTGCGAACTTTGCCTACCACAAGAATTGTCGTAGTTATCAGAAGAAGTTGAAAGGTTTTGAGGTGCTGGGACCTTATTTCATTCATAGAGTAGCTGAGTTTAGTATGATTTGACACAATTTCCATTTGCGGTATCAGTAGGTAAGAGTGCGCTCTGTGCGCCCGAGCTTGGAAGTGAATTTAAGTCTGAACATTTATCTTTAAATGTGTGGACCTACATGCTGTTAATTTCGAATTTCATCTGCGTTTATCTATGGGGCTATTTTTCTTCCGTCACAGTTGTGTTAAGTAAACACTACTGCGAGGTTTCTGACCACTCAGTAGGATCCCAGTTTTCTTTCCGCTGCCGTATGCGGACTAGAATTTCAGGTCAAACTCATATTTTTAATGTTGGCGGCTGTCCTTTATATTTTTTGACGGTCATATTTAACCTTCAGACAAAGTAAACCCGTTTACAGGTGTCTTTTTGCCGTTGATTTAACATTTGTATCGGAGCCTTTGTCCGAATCAATTACATAGTTCTATCTCATTACTGATACCTATTCATTTTGCAGGTGGCATTCTTGGATGAGAGAGGACTAAGAAATCCACGTGCAAATGTTCGTTGCCGATGTGCCTACCTGTTTAGTCGACTGGTTAAATCTCACAGGTGAGTTTTACACATTTTTCATCCGATTACCCTTTTTTAAATTGTGTAAAATCAACCATATGCTAGGGTATATTGGCAGCCAAAAGGTTTATTTCTCTCGATATCAACGTGCAGAATCGCGCGTTGCGTTTGCATTCTGATCAGGGTGAAGTTGACTACGAGCCGTAAAGTCAGCCAAAAAAGACCTACTTGCAAGTATCGTCGAACTCTTTATAATCTATTTTGTTACCGAAGTCGTCTGAAGCGAGTCGCGGTTACCGTCTTTAACTTTCGGGCGGTGTATACGACCCAAAGTACATCATATAGGATCCCTTTTTTTCCTTAGATATGATGACAAAAGTTTAACCTATATAGCTTTCGGTCCATTGTTACCCGGTCTGGAACTGACTCCTTGTATATTGTATGCATTTCCGCGAACACCAAAAATGTCAGTTGTCGGCATGAACACCACTGGAAAGAGTTGATGAAGTTAGTTCCATTCACAAACCCCTAGGGAAGGCCCCCTTTTCACATGCCCTATCACGGGCGTAATCGTGGGATGGTGTTTCCCACCACGAAGGTTTGCTTTTCGTAATTTAATTATCCGATGTTCGCTAAGCTCACCGCATTTGCAAGTTAAGCAAAAATCGGCCATTTTAGCTTGCCGGTGTACCCTCACCATTTCTTTCCTTTTATTAAATCAGTTTGAGTGCTAGGCTTCAGATCGTTTGGTTGGTAAAGGTCTTTGGGTAACGCGAAGATAGTCGTTTGCACGCATGTCCAATTACTTGTTCTGAAGTCCCTAAATTGCATAATTTGTTCAGGATCATTTTACGACTTCAGAATACTTATACAGACATAATTATCTTCTGTAACAAACAGTGGGAACGGTTTTGGTAGTTTCATCGGCGGTCGTTTGGAACTTCTGACGACGGAACCTGCGGTAACAAAAACGTAGAATAGTGTGCAAGTTCCGACCTCTGTTACTAGCCGTCGTCTCATGTCCTTGGTGTCTGTCACCATATCTGCTGTCGGCGCATTAACCTTGCAGTCTCCATGGCTAATTGTCCGAAACGGGCTAGTCAGAAAATCAAATACACCACACCTGATCCGCGAGTCGTCGGGCGGGACATTCCAACGAAAAGTGCTTGACACATATACTCTCTGCCCACAAGCTTACGAATTTTCGTCAAGCACTGTAGTCTGCTCAGTCATTGCCCCATGCTGTTAATCAACAATTTCTTTCTGTAAGCTAGCTCCTTAAGCAGGGCCGCAGGTAATTTACAGACCGAAGCAAAGGTAGCTTATCTCGCCCTTGCTCTTTTCGAATCCTTCCATCCGCAAAACGTTCTGCAAGACGTCATCTTCAATCGAGACCGAACTTTATCAGAGTGCTTAACTCCCGCTTTGATAAAAAACAGCCATAAAGTTTGAATTGGTCTTTTCATTTTCGGCCACCAGAGGCACTCTGGCGCCCCATGCCCAACAGATCCTCCAGCAGCTAGAAGGCCTCTTGCCTCTGGATCCAACACCCGAACTTCCATCACAAAAGACCGCAGGCTTAGAAAATGGCACCACCAAGTCACTATCTAACGGTACTCACCATCAAAAGTTCCTCTCCATCACAGAACAGAGTTTCCTATACGAGTCTTCAGCACATCTCATTCTCGCCAGCGCGCTTCGTAGTGCAAACTCTAATGGTAATGGCGGAACTGCAACAGACTCCCAGACCTCGCACCTCTTCGCCATGTTGCTGCGACCAATCATGATCCAATTTCCCGAATTGGTTCGTCTGCTGGCTGCTGAAAAGGACCCTCTTGTTGCAGAACCGCGTGGCGTGGTGGTCAAGCAAGCTGCTGACCTCATCACGTAAGTACCACTTGTTAACTCTCATAACTGTAATTTTTAGAACTGTTGCTCTATTCGTTTGGCAGCTCAAATAACTGTTAGTATTGTTGAACAGCTTCTCGAATAACTGCTCGAACTGTTGGTCTATTCGTTTTTCAGCTCGAATAACTGTTGATAATGCAATATTTCTTAATGCTGTGCTGCGTTTTCAAGTGGTCCTCACCGCAGTTGCTTCTCTATTACCACGCGAAGAGACAACTGGGTCAAATGTGTTCAGGATAGCTCGGCACGACAGCTGCTGTGTTTCATCCACTTTCCTGTAGAAGGCCGAGAGAGGGGGAACCAGCGTATTTAAGTAGCTCTTGAAACAGTTGATTAAAAGGCAAGAGAGCCGAACGGGGGGTGGGGTCAGTATTCAAGTAGCTCTTAAGGGGTGCTTGGCCGGGGGACTACATTTAACGCCAGTGTTCAATCAACTGGAACAAAGGGGTCAACAGTAATATAATTCTTGGAGGAAGGGGGCTCGGGTATGCAGTTCAGTTTTTGGAAAAAGGGGACTCGGGCACGCAGTTCAGAGCAAATTAATTCCGAAGATTACATTGACGTGGTGAATGTCACAGTAATGCTTCTGAGCCTGCTGGGCTATCTGCTGTGTAGTTCACACCCACCGATTGTCTCCTTCACTTCTTCCTAGCCGCACAACGCGAGTGATGTCATCTCAGTCACCCCTGAACCCGGAGTTCATTCCTATCTTCATGGATATCCTCAATGTGATGGTGAACAGTATGGCCTATCTGCCCACAGCCCCCGGCAGTCCTGGTCGGGGGGCCGCCTGCACTGGCATTCGGGCCTACCTGCACCGTTTGATTGTCTGTATTGAGCCCGAATGTACCGTGCCGTGCCAACCAGCTAAAGACGGCGACTCCAACGGTGGTCTGTCCAACGCTTCTGAGTGGTTAATGCTAGCCATCTCTTCCATCATGCCCCAGCTCATTGGTGTCAATCAGGATGGCACCGCTTTGGTGGAAGCTGCGGAGACGGATATTGACCAGCGCTGGCGTGAATTACGCGACAATATGCCACTCTTCACCCAGATTGCTTCGCGATACAAAGTAGGTAGTCTAGTCGCTTTTTCTAAATTTAACAATCACCTTCAGCCTTCGGTCCTCCAATTGTCATGTTTTTTACTTAAAATGTATTTATTTTTTTATAAATTCTTAAAGCTGGCCTACATCAACTCTCATGAACGACTGAGACCGAATATTACGACTCATTAATACAGTAATCGCCGGCTATTAAGCCCACGGTTAATAAGCCCGCCGCTTATTAAGCCCAATTTGGTCTGGGCCCGAGGTGGACTTAATAACCGGCGACTACTGCAGTCTTACCACAGGAGACTGGCATTTTGGTCCTCTACACCAAGAGCCAGAGCGCGGTGGCTTGTTAGTAAATTATCGACGTGTTGAGGCAGCGATGCTGCGGAAATCTAACTTCATATCAAAATTCCACGCAAGTTCTCGTTCTTCTCCAGACAACAGTACATTCTTTCGAGTACCAAGATTAACCATGAAGTAGAAAAGCTTTAGTATTGTCTTAGAGAAGTAATAGCAATGTTGCCATTATTCTAAGTCACCAACTTGGCGGTCAGAAGACGGATATCTTCCCGAACATTGTTTTCTGATAGTTGCTAATGTTGCTTTTTAGTTGTTGTATTATGAATCCGAAGATTTTTTTCTAACTTTCTGATCCCACTTATTAATTTTAACCCGAGTGCAACTATGTAGCATGGCGTCTGTAAGCCGACTGTGTTATCGCCTATGACAGCCAAACATGCACAATATTCCCTTTTTCTCTGTCCTTTTATCTCCCTTCTAAACATTTCTAACCCACATTTTACGACATTTTTGCCAAGGTATCATAATGCCGATGCCATACTGATTAGACTTTGAAGGTCGCTTTTGACCACTTAGCTCAGTTTTTATGTGATAGAGCATCTTCTGCACGTGCGCTGATTAGCGGTTTCGTCATAATTGACAGCCACGCGACGCACGTGCTTGTCGCGCACTTCAATCGGCGGTGGTGGCCGCCACACCCAATCATTTTGCAGCGTCATTGTGATTGGCTTTTGTTTTTTTGTCGTCGGCTGTTTCGATTGGCTCTGCTAATAGCTTGTCCTCGCGCGACCGCGCCTTTGGCATTGTGCTATTCTGTGGTGGCCGAAGACGTAGGAGATAGCACATGCCGAGTAACAAGAAGCACTGTGAACAACTTCTGACTAAGTCTGAGTTGCAGGGAGTTGTTAAACACGTCGGCAGTCATCCAAGCGATAAGTAGAAATAAGAATTTTGAGAGTCATAATGTAGAGTTAATGAAAGAAATGTACAAAAATGGATGAGTTACGGTGTTAGGGATGACCTTTTTAAATGGAAGGTGACACTGACATGTATCTTTCATAACCTGTGGGAAAGGCAGTGTTGTGAATAGCTGCAGGGAAGGGCCGTGCGATGTAGCGACGTAGTGAGAGTAGAATTTTGCGACGAGTTGCGAGATAAGGTTCGGTGGTAGAAAAGGAAGGGCACCAGCTATTTTCTCTGGCACGGAGTTGCAGCATAACCAGCCAGATTCGCGCGTAAAGTGTCGCTTACTTCAAACGACTCATTCAATTTCGTGATATGTTACATTCGCACTCCAGGTGTTCCTGCGTTATTTGATTGACGTAACTAGGGAGCTAGATCGTTCGAACATGACGGCGGATGAGATAAATCAGTTCCAGGAGCAGGGAAGAAATTGATTTAGAACCTGATGCGTTGTACGAATGCAAGACGAACTCCCCAGGTTTCTTCTTGGGCGACCTCTAGTCGGCTGTTTGTATACTTTCAGTTGACACTCTTCAGTTGGTCGTGCAAATGGCGCTACAGTTCGTTCTGAAAGAGTTCCCCAGTCAGTCTTGTGTGACGGTCAGTACTCAAGTAAACAAATATTTCGACTAATCTTTGCATAGTCATTCGCTCTAGTCAGAAGACGAGAGAGGACGAGCTTTTAGAATATTCGGCCGTCACAGTGGACAAGGACTTTAATCATCCCTGTAACACATTTTAACTGGCCATCATTTCACACCAGTCACAAAACTGTGATTATTCGTAA